TTAGCCCTCCTTACAAATGCTTTGCAATTTAAAGCTCTTCAGCAGAGCTATCAAGGAGCTGGGTTCACAATCTGCCCTTTTGTTCCTGATTTGGAGCAGACATCTGATTCCGGACTACATGTATGCTGATTTGCCCTGACTGCAATCGCAGAAGCTATGGCTCTTCTATCTCCTGAATAAATGGTATTGTACTAAAATGAACTGTTAAGGACTGCTTGATGTTGGTACAGTAAAATCAGGGTTACAACACTGCAGTTCAAATTCATTCACTGATTTGGCAGATACCTCCTGTATCCTATGTCATGTGTTGAATTACCTCTGTGCTGCTGTGCATACTCCTAACACACTTTGTCTCAAGATTTACAGGTACTGGGAGGAAAGAAAAGGCTCATTCTGATAACCGTTATGTATCTTCAGAATATGCTAAAGCTTCAAGTAATACAGGGTCTTTTTTAGTGGTTCTGAAAATATCAAGTAACAAAAATCTAAAAACATAGGGGACTTTAATTACGTAATCTTAGGTACTTAGAAACTTCAAGTTTCTACATCAGCTGATGTCAGCTAAACCTAAAAATCCCACACTGGCACTTAAGTGGAAGAATTCTCTGAATAATGAGATATTTGGGTTCCTTCATATATTTAGGTTTTAACTGTAAGTTTTCTGTAAGATAGGTTATCCTTTTTAATCACAGTGATTTTGAGAAATCAGCTCCTTCAAGATATGCTCACCTGTGATTTACACAAACACATTTGCATGTGAGGTGCATACAAGAAAGTTAAAACTTTTTTCTTCCTAGACACCCAGTGTAATTGCATTAGGTCAAACCAGCACTGCACTGGCTTTTCCCCTCTCTCTCTCCCTCTCTCTCTCTCATTTTTTCTCTCTCCCTCCAGCTCTGCAGCAATACTCTAGCTCCACTGACTGATCTAAAGCAGGAATTGGTGCCTCCTGGAAATGTGCTTCCTTAGGAAATGTGTTCAGCTAAGATCTCTCCTTCATACTGATGCAAGTCCTGTATGTACTTGTGTTCTTTTTTTTTTTGTTTGTTTGTTTTCTGCATGTGTTTAGTTTTCACTGTTCCCTTTCATGCAGATTTCCATGAGATTTCACTGTTTAGCATTTGCAACATATTTTTACTTCGGTTGCCATTGCTGATGTTCTTGCTATCATAGCATTAACAGAAGAAAAAAGTACAATGTCACAGAAAGCAGAAAAGCTGATCTATTGAGAATTAGTGTGATCATATTAGTATGACAGGAAAACAACAGCTTGGATCCTGATCCAGGAAATTAAACAATCTTGCCTCTGTGAATGAGTGAGCAATTCTGGAAAAAGCACTTAGCTGAAACATTCTTCTCTACCCCACTTGCTCCTTCTTTAATAAAACAAGGTCAGGTGTTCATGTAAGTATTCAATTAATTTGATTTATTTCCTCAGATAATACCAGCTTTTCCTTGGCAACAGCAACTGAGGGGGTGATTTGAGATGCACCAAAGTTTACATTTCTGGGGCTCATTAAGTCACATCATTGGATGTAATTTAGGTTGTTCAAAATATGGACAATGTTATCACTTTTACTTGATAGTATCTGAGCGTAACAACTGGCAAAAAAAAAAAAATAAAAAAAATCCACTTTATTATTCCTACAGTAACATTTAATATTCTAATAACCACTTCCAGCTAGCCTTTCTCTTCTCAGATGCTCAGAGGAAGCTGGCACAAACATTTTCTACAAGCTCCAGCAAATGAACCCCTTGTATAGAAATTGAAGTGTCTAATCTAATCTGCTGAGGGATCTGCACCACATACATTACCCTGACATTTAAGGTCTCATAGTCAGTGACCGGTTAACCAAATCTGTCACTATGACAGACATGTATTTCTACGTGCCGTGCCACAACTTAATCTTTCAGGCACAGTTTAGGTGAAGGATGTTGTAGCACACTGAATCAGAATCTATAATATATGCGATGAAGAAATTTCCCGCTTGATGTTAAAATAGATCCATTCTAAGTGCCATAACTATAATAAAGCATATGAATTTGTCTACTAAGCTATACACAATAGATCAGCTGTTAGATTGCATCACGCTAGTTATCTTCACAATTACTGTTATTATTACGTGTTGTTACAACCCTCCACCTCTTCCCTTTTCCCTGATACCAGAATCTGTGACAATGAGTTTCTGGAAGAGAAGGTTATTTTGGAAATGGCTGCTAAGTGACATATCTGAACTTCTAAATTACCTCTTTTGATACCTTGTGATTACCATGCGTCACACAGTAAATCTGTGAGTCAGAATGTTATCTGACATCTCCTGATAGCATAATAGATAACATTGTTCATAGCTCCAGTGCATTTATTATTTCAACTAACTGAAGAACAGATGGAATTCCCCTAGCATACTTGGATTTCTACCCTCTTGAGCTCTCCATTGTGTTGTTTGCTTTTGTGCTGAGCCTGCATCCAGACCTCTGCACCTGCTGCCTCAGTGTGGCCTGGCGCATGGGGTCCCAGGACTGCCAGGTGGAGCAATACACACACACACACGTTGCCGTCCATTTCTTTCCACAGAACAGATGTTCTCCATCCAGGAAAGCTGTGCCAGCTCTGTCAGTGGCTCAGGGTGTCAGAGGCCTGCTGCTGCTTGAGGTCACCACAGGCAGCGTGCATTTGGGTTTATTCGTCAGCAGCAGACTTGGCTGAACTTTATCCCTAGAGAATTTGTTTTGTTTCTAAAGCTTTGGTGCTACAAAACAGGGACTTAAAAATATTAGAGAGCATCCAAAGAAAGGCCTCAAATGGAGGGTCTGGAGGACAAAGGGTATGAGGAGTGACCAAGGTCCCTTGGTTGGTTCAGCCCAGAGCTAAGGAGGCTGAGGGGAGGCCTCGTGGTGGCACAGAGCTCTGTCTCTGATGGCAGTGACAAGGCCTGAGGGAACGCCTTCGGCCTGAATCAGGGAAGGGTCAGGCTGGGTGTTAAGAAAAGGTCACCAAAGGGTGATCAGGCCCTGGACCAAGCACCCCAGGAGAATGGTCACACCCCCAAACTGTTCAAGGAGCATCTGGACAATGCTCTCAGAGACAGGGCTTGATCTGGGTTGCTCTTTGTGGATCTAGGTTTTGGATTTGATGATCCCTTCCAGCTCGTGATCTTCTGTGATTCTGTTTCTAACCATTTACCCTAGCCAGTAGCCCTGCCCCTTGAGAAAAAAAAAAACTATGTTCTTGATGGAGAAGGAAAGACTTCTGCCACTGTGACTCAGCAGCAATTATGCTGATTTTTATGCAGAGTTTATTAGGATGTTCCAGAAAAGGAGTTGTGCAACTGTAGTGTGGAAGCTTAGCAATCCCACTGTGGCAAGAACTAAGTCAAGATGATCAGGAACTTGGCAGTAGATCCAGGAAGACTCTGAGAACTGGTGCTCAAACGTAAGGACTGCAGTTCTGACAGCATACCAGCTCCTAAAATCTGGGTTACTGCATGCTGTGCTTCAGGCTGAAAAGTTTCATGCACAGCTCCCAAATTAATGTGATCTGCTATGGCCCCTCAAAGCTCTTAGGGTGCCCTCCCCACCCTGTCTGCAATTACTGAGTCTGGTGGTGGGAGCACACACCCGAGCCTGAGGAAAAGCAGCTGGGGTGTTTGTGGCACTTGGGGCAGTCTTCTCAAGAGCACTTTAAATCCTGCTTGAAAGAGGTTTCAATGCACTTAGTACATTGTGAAGCTGCTAAGAACAGTGTTAAATAATCACAGAGCAGAGTAAGAGAAGTTGTTAAAAGTTTTCCGTTTTATTAGATGCAGCTTACTGTACAGACTCCCATTCTTCTGGGGCAGAGTGATGGCCACTTGATAGAAAACACCAGGAATGGTTGCAAAGGAGTGGCTGGCAGAAAATGGAGGCAGGATGTTAATAACTCTAAAAAAAAAAAAAAGGAAACAATCAGCTTGATGGACCCAGGCCCTTGCCATAATTCTGTGTGTCCGTGTCCAATGAATTATTGAGGATGGTTTAAGCACATTATTTCCCACAGCTGGGTTTCCTGAGCAGGTCATTTAGTGCAGACACTCATACTGCCCATCTCCAGCTGTGCCTCTCCAGGAGCCCCAGCTCACAGAGCTGGCCTTGGGGTGTGCTTGTTTCCTTGCCACTTTTCAGTGGTTTAGTTTGGTTTTGCAACACAGGAAGCCCAGGAGTCCCCGCAGATGCTCACTCTGACAGAGAGAGAAGCAGGGAACCCTCCATCACAGCCATGCCGTAGGTAGGACTCCTGTCAAGTTTGCAGCTGGCATAGGGTGAGGGGGGAAGAAGAAGAAGGAAAAGGTGGGAGCAGAAAAAAAAGTTAAAGAAAAATGGGAAAAGGAAGAAAAAGCGGGAGAGAGCGAAGAAAAAAATAAGAAAAAAATCAGAGAAAAAAAAAGACACAAAGGACAAAAAGAATACAGAAAAAAAGCAGGAAAGCGGAGAAAGAAAAAGATTTCGAGATTGGCGGCAGCATCGAGGCGAGCCGCAGCCGGACAGGGAGCAGCCGCACCCTGCCGGTGCAGGAGCCGGATCTCAGGCCGGTGTCGGACCGGAGCCGCCCGGGGTGCGGGCGGGGCGCGGGGCGGGGCACGGGGCGGGGCGGGCGGCACGAAGGGGCGGGCGCGGGGCGGTCCGGCACGCAGGCGCGGTGGGAGCCCGGGGCGCCCCACGCGGGCGCTCCCAGAGCCTCGGCAGCGGCGCCCGGCTCGGCAGCGAGGGGGGCGCGGGCCGGGACTGGGCGGTGTGGTGGCGGCAGAAGCACCGGTAGCAGAAGCGTCCGGGAGCTGTGGGAAGAGGGCGGCACCGGCACTGCCGCTGCTGCACCCCGCTCAGCCGCGCTCTCGCCGCCGTTCGCCCCGCTGCCATGGGTTAGGGGGCGGCGGAGGATCGGGGGACGCCGTCAGGCTGCGGCCGCCGGCGGAGCGCGGAGCGGCGCCCGCGGAGCCAGGAGGCAGAGGGCGGCGGCGGTGGGGCAGCCGCCTCGGGGCTGGCGCGGGAGGCTGGGGCGGGGAGCTGCCCCGGTGCGAGCGCGGCGGCGGGCGGAGAGATGAGCGCGGAGTTGGTGAGCAGCGCCCTGGGGCTCGCCCTCTACCTCAACACGCTGGGCGCCGACTTCTGCTACGATGACAGGTACGGCGGGCCGGGGCACACCTGCCGGCGGTGGGGCCGGGCCGGGGGAACGGGGAGCCCGGATCGCCGGTGCCGGCGGCGAGGACGTTGACGGAGCCGTGACAGCTCGTTGCCACCCCGCCGTTCTGGCGAGCGCTGCCGCTACTTCGGGCGTCCCGAGCAGGGAGCGGGGTGCCGGTGGGGCGCGAGGTGCCGCTCCTCCGAGCGCCGGGCGGGGCTGGCCGCCGGGCATTCCGATTGGTGCCTTTTCCGCTGGCTTGATCTGATTGCAGTTAGAAGGGATGCGTAATTAAAATGTATTGGGGAGAACAGCACGCCTGGCTAAACTTATGAACCGTCCTGGGGTGTTTCATGCGCCGTTGGAATTAAACCATCCGAGAAGCGAGCCGGGATTTACTTTGACAGCTTCTCGGCGGTCCTTCTCCTCCCCTCCGCCTGGAGGGGTCCCGTGGCGAGGGTTGGTGTTGGAGCCTCGCAGCGCCCTGCGTGGGGCGGTGGCAGGCGGTGCGGTGCTGCCGGGAGGTGCGAGCCGTCTCGCGGGGTGGGACGAGGCAGCGTCCGGTCGGTGCGCTGAGCCCGGGCCGCCTCCCTCGGGCTGCTGCCGGCGGTGCACCTGCCGCGGCGGGTGGAACAACACCGTTCCCACAACGTCCTCAGGCGGTGTGGAGCCGCGTTCCCTCGGAGCGGGGCAGCTCGGGCTTCGGTCCTTGGCGTCACTGACACGAAATCCTGTGGTGCGATTACTTGTTTCTGGTGTTTGTGTGAGCTTTCCGGTTACGGGCAGGGGTTTGTTTTTTTACGCCTTTTTTAACATCTGAAAACGTAATGCACGAACAGTAAAATAAGGAAAAAAAAATTAGCCGTTATTCCGCTAGGCAGGGACTGAGTTGGACCAATAGAAAGCAGTATTCTGACACACTGACACTACTTTCAACCCGCTTGTTGTAGCTGAGAGCTGCAGAAGTGGAGTATTTGCATAACCCTAAGCAGTGTATGCTGCAGTATTCGGGCAGAACTGGGTTGTTTAAGGACGTAAGCCTGTCCTGCAGGCCAGTTCAATTTGGCTTGAGGTAGAAAGCAGTTTGAAGCGTTGCCTGATAGTGTTCATGCGGAGGTCAAGGTTACTCTTGCTCCTGCCCGGGTGTGCTTTAACACTGCTTGGAAATAGGGGTATTGAGTGTTGTCTTGGGGAGGGTGGAAAAGATAGTTGCATGTGGCCTTTGTAACATTAGTCCCATACTATTTAAAAGGTGTTCTGAGGAAAAGCTATGCAGATATGTTTACCTTGTAACTAAAGAGCACTTCTCATCATTTTAACTAAGGTTTAGGTATTCACTAGAGTGCTCGAAAAGCCAATTAATGGCAGTCCCGTACGCAGGGTCATCTAATTAGGGTGCCTTTCAACTGCGGTCCTGGAAGGGAAAGGCAGGAAGGTTGTTGCTTGCTGGGGCTAGGGATGACAACGGCAGGCTCTCAGACCTGAAGGATTCTCTTAATGGTAATCACAGGATCTTGCTGCCCTGCAGGAGCCTACTTGAAATGTAACAGAGGAAAGGAGGTTGATGCTGGAGCTGTCGGACGTGGTCCCCCATGTGGGAGATGGATCATGATACTAACTTTAAGTGAATCAAGATTGTGCCTTTATGCTAGGAACCTGCAATCTGTATGAGGGCAGCATATTGCTTTACCTTTTTCTGCTTCCTTTGCCAAGTGTATTGAAATTAGATCAGACTGTTGTTTTTTATTTTTTTTAATATAGTGATCAAGCTTACTTTATAAAGGGTGTCTGTAATTGCTTTCTCTATGTTTTTATGTAGGTTGGTTAAGATTAAGTGGCATCGTAAAAACTTCTTAGAACAAAATCAATTTCCCAATGGTAAAACTTAATATTTTAGCGGCTGCACTGCACCAAAGCAAAGCCTGTACGGGCAGTGATGTAACAAGCTTACTTGTACTCTGAGGTTTATGACTTTATATCAAAGAATTCCATATTTTATTTCCTAGCCTTCACCCAATGAAACTGAAATTGAATGAATTTAAAAAGTATTCGTTCTCACTTTTCATCTTGAGTCTGCCTACCTCACTGCCGCTTTCATGCTGGATAACGTGACGTGCGCATAATCAGTGCAAATGTGATCTCTTAGATCGATTGGCTTATTGATTAGTGTGAATGGAAGTGACAGCTTCTAAACCTGCGAGCTCAGTGTAATGAGGAGTCACTGTTGTTTTCTCTGTGTACCTTGGAAACGAGCTTTTGTCACCCCCTTCCCTGCTGCTCTAATTTTCACGGCAACTGTGATATTTTCCAGAAAAATGTGTAGATTACTGGGGAGGAAATCGGTAATAACCCTATTCATTTTGGAACAAATAAATATACTTCTCATTCTCTTTTTGCTTTATTTTCTTTTCAGTTTTAAAATGGATATGACATACATTAACCTGGAAGAAGAGACAAATATAGGGAGAGGGGTGGATGCATGTCTAATGCCATGATGAGCTCACAATGCATATTAATAAACGTTTACTTACTGTTGAGCAAAATCAATTTGGAAGCCGTAAGAAGAGGTAGGGAGAAATGCAATTTTCATTCCTGCAAATGTATTGAAGATCTGACATATTGTACTGTGTTAAATCCAGCTCCTTGCCAGATTAAGGGGGGCTAATCTCTAGTCGCTGCACATGCAACCCTTGTTTCAGGCTAATATCTACCCAAATCGCAGGAGGGGAGCCTATGGCTGCAGTGAGGCTAACAGCCTGGCATCATTATTTTTCCTTGCTGCTTGAGCCCACCCCAAGCAGGCAGTCTGAGCTGTGGGCCCCTCACGCAACCTGTGCAAGTAGGACAGATCCCTGTCAGACTGTCGCTGGGCTGTGGAAGATTTAGTGCTCTGAGTGTCCTGGGGTCATACGCTGCGGCGGTGCGTGTCAGAAGCTACTCATCCATTGAAGTGTTCCTTTGTCTTCCCAAATGGTGGAAGGAAGCCATGGTTTGAGGGGGCCACTAGGAGGGATCTTTAACACTGAGTGGTGCATCTTCTTTGTGCCCACTGTGTGTATTTTCTGGAGCACCAGTTTTACCAGACTTTTGGCTCCTCGAAAGATGCCTCCATGAAACGTGGCAGTGCTGGCCAGATCTCTGTGGCTTGTGCTGCATTCTGTTTAATGGGCCTGAGTGGGGCAGCCTTGCTGGTGCGAGAAACAACATCAAACAGCTTTGTTTGAAAGCTACAGTGTTGCAAGCTGCATTGAAGAAATCCTAATGAATGCTTTTGTGCTGTAGTGTCAATTTTACATAATTTGGAAATGGTCTGAGGCCATGCCTGTTGCACAGTACCTCTGTTGGTTCTGCCCATGAGAATTAATCTAGCAAGTGACCCAAATACAGGCACTAGAAGAACAAGTGTAAGTACACTGGGGAAAATTGCTTGCCATCTGTCTGCTTGTTGAATGTGTATATTTGATTATTAATTTACATCTGTGATTTTTATGGCTCCTTTTTGTCATCTACTCTGTTTCTTAGCTCCAAGTGCACCTCTCCAGCAGGCTCCAGTAGATCCAGTTCTCAGCTGGCTGCAATCTTTTCAATTCTAGTAGTGAGGCCAGCTGTGGAGGAAAATTGAAGAAGGGGACATTCGTGCTTATCTGTAGTGTTTTCCCTTTGTCCCTGCTTTTGTGTCTTAAACGTGCTAATTTCAAATGACCGTAAGCATGCCCTTGTATTTGCTGATAAGGCAAAATGTAATCCAGAGAGGATGCCTGAGTAACTAAGGCAGCATAGTTTTCAAGTATTGTATTTGAGGATCAACCAGGCAAGCCAGTAACTGACTGCCTGGCAGGGTGAATCTGGCTTGATAATATTCCATTACTATGATGTCTGTTCTATTTTCAATGCTGAACGTCATCTAAAAATATATTTGACTTCAGCTTTAAAAGCATTTGTGCATTAAATTTGTGTTGAATAAAACACTTTGATCAAAATATAAAATCTGTTTCATCAATATAATGTGGTGTTCTGTGGTGGTTGTTTTTTGTTTTTTTGTTTTTATCCCTGCAATGAGGATGCTCTAGTATAGAGGTATTTGGAAGCAAAAAAGAAATTGTCCCTGCAGGCTTTATTTTAAGATTTCTGTTACATACATATCACTCACATAAACCGTGCTGCTTTTGGTAGGTGGTTCAGAGAATAAATTCATGACTGTTAGCAGACGGAGAGTCTCCCTGAGTCACTGATGGGATGTAGCTCATCTGCAGGAAGTTCTTCCAGCGCACAATGGAGTTACAAATTCAAATGATCCACTTTCTCCTGCATCTCCCATATGTATTCCAGCTGCGCTTCTGAATCCTTTAAGTTTGCCAGAGTGAAAGTTGCTCGGAAGGCGCAGAAGTCTCTCATCTCAATTTGTTAACCATCTGATAGCTGCAGGAATGCTGAACTAGATCTACTTTGCCTCCCTCATCTGGAAGTTTGCCTTTTCCTTGTTGGCTGCTACGATTTTTTTTTTCTAGTGGATCTGACTGAAGCAGGCTTCACTGTTTGTTTATGGAATTTCTTTCTTTAGCTGAAATATTTGATGCTGAAGCTGTAGATGCAGGCCTGCTGGCAACCTGTGGTGAAAGTTGCTCCAAACATACAGTTGGAGAAACAGACTAAATCTGAAGAGAGAGATGCTTGTTCTTATTGTTATTTATGTAAAAATGAATCTGTTATTTGGGCCAATGTTTACAGTTAGATTTTATCATTTTGGTCCTTGAATTACTTTGCAGGCTTGACTCAGCTTTTGGATCAACTTTCTTTTTTAAACAATCCATCATTGCTAATGTTTGTCAGAAATGTTGATTGAAAGATGGAAATGTTTTACATGGAGATCTGAATCTTAGGTCAGAAGTTCTTTCTTCTCTGATGCTTTGGCTCTCAGGGCAGTCTCTTTTTTTATATTTCTCGTGATTGCAGATGCCTCTTGCTGGTCTTTGACATTGGCAGCTCTTGAGCTCCTGTGCTT